TCATTCTGCGTCTGCACAGGTCATTCTTACGCATATTTCCTGTTAAATGATATATTTAAGAAATCTCCATCGCCATTTCCTTAAGAATAAATCCAGTTTTAATGTCTAATAAAAATTCAACAACCGAGCCAGTATTTCGATACGTACGGAATTGTTTTATAGCCGCTATAAATAAAGTGTTTGTTAGCTGATACTTACGTATGTGGGTACTTTCTTTCTTTCGCAGTTCAATTTGGTTTCTTATCGCGTCAAGTATTAGGTGTAATATGCGTACCGTTCTAAAAAGGAATAAAACCGGAAAACTTACCACACAAAATTATGTACAATTAAAATACCTTAATTGATTTAATTAGGCCTGTTGCAAATTAAAAGTCTTTTTGAAAACGATTATTTCTCATATCAGTAAATCAAAACATATACGACCGTCGTTTCAGTGAAGTTGAACGAACTAACCACAAGCATTTTGTAACAAACAAATTGCTGGGTTTCTTTGATTTTTTAAATAATTACAGAGTTGTACAAGAAATGAAAGTCTGACCTATACAATTAGGAGAATACGTTATTTATTGAAAATTGGGCATATTGAACGGAATGGAATACTACTTGTACCCTTCCAGAAGAAAAAAAAACTTTTGGGTGTTTCATTCGCACCAGCCAGTAATGCTGGTGGGCGGGCAGTCCCTCCGGACTAAGCCGGAAGGTAAGGTGGAAGGCCCTCTTCAGCCTACATTCAGGAATTGTGGGAATGGGTGAATGGTGGTTCGGGTGAGAAAGTTGAGACGGACGACATGAAGACAGAAGAGAATGAAAAATTATCTGTGGAATATTACTGCCCCAGCATTTGCCTATGTTATCCAAGGAAACCACGGAAAAACTTGGACCAAGGCAGACGGACCCGGAATCGAACCGGCGTCCTCCCGAATGCTAAGCAATGGTCTAAACTTCTAGGCCATGCCGCTCGGTTTCCAGAAGACCCCGCTAGATCCTTACGAAAAATGGCCCTCTGTCAAACCTACTGAAACTTTAGATTCTGGTAATTCTCGATGTCAAAAGTCAGGGCGCTCGTCATCATCATAAGGTCGTCATTCCTAAGACTGGTTGGGTAAAAAAAAAACTTTTGGGTGTTTCATTCCCACCAGCCAGTAATGCTGGTGGGCGGGCAGTCCCTCCGGACTACGTCAGGAATCGTGGGAATAGGTGGATGGTGGCTCGGGTGAGAAAGATGAGACGGACGAAATGAAGACAGAAGAGAATGAAAGATTATATGTGGAATATTACTGCCCCAGCATTTGCCTAAGTGATCCAAAGAAACAACAGAAAAACTTGGACCAAGGCAGACGGACCCGGAATCGAACCGGCGTCCTCCCGAATGCTAAGCAATGGTCTAAACTTCTAGGCCATGCCGCTCGGTGGTTTGGGTACTGACCTCCACCCTTCCCTATCCTGAGCTAATCTTCATATTTCCCTGAAACTCGAACATCCCACATCATTAATTATTTGTGAACACTAATCTAATCTATATGGAGGTCTATCTCTACTCCTCCTAACTCTTGTTTCTGCCTCTCTGACTAGCCCTTCATGCCTGAGAGATGTCGTACCAATTTATCTCGCCTATTACTTATTAATTTCCGTAGTGACCTATTCTTTCCAATACATTTTAACTTCTAACCTTCTCTATCCACGGTATTCTCATTGCTTCTAACCATTTCTTTTCCGTCGCCACCACCGTCCATATTTTGCACCGTACAGCGTTGCGATCTAGATATGCACCTTTAAAAACCCTTTTTCGAATTTCTAAATTCACCTTTTATGAGCATGGATGTGACTTCTTTTCCTTTTGTTGAAGGCAATCCGACCCTGCGCTATCCTCTGTCTTGTATGTGTATCTCTACTGTTCCTTCCGTCATGAGTTAATTATCTGACTTCCTAGATACCAAAAATCAGTCACTCCATTATTTATTTGTTAATGTATAATACCTATGTGTATTGCATATTATGGATATGTCATGGTTTCGGACCAGGGATGGTAATACACTGTTCAAAAGTGTAGTATCTACGCCTCAACGTCATAGTGTACCTACTCATGGGTAGAAAAAGTTGGTGTACTCAGACGTGTAATCAGACACCAACATAGACTATATTTTATACGACTTTAGAAAACTAAAAGGGTAGTTGTAACGAAACGTTAGTGGGTTCATATACAAATAGTAAGGTTCTAACGGCGTCTTTTGAACGCTGTCGATGACGCATAGAACTTCCATTTTGATCAACGACATTTGCTGAAATAATACTCTAAACGTTAATCCTTTAGGGTCACAGTAAATACAGAACGTATAGACATTTAAACCCACCTATTGTTTTGCAGGTGTTTAGTTCCAAACAAAATACATCAAAATTGACTACTGTTTTTGATATAAAACGGTATCATCGGAAATATTGCCCGTTAGTTAGCTCTCTGTTTCTTGAACATACGTTTTAACCATCTAACTTCAGAATGTTGCACTATCAGCCAAGATATGTATCTACAATTTGACGATTTCGTTGCAGAACAATAACATTTTTTTTCCAGTTTTGATTTGATAATACGATTAAACCTCTTCAACTTGGATAAAATTTTGCAAAACCTAGTCCTCTGAAAGATATATTGGGCGCTTATACGTCATTCCACACTTCTTTTGTTTTTTTTTCTACAATCTTTAACTAAAAAGTGGTGTTTTTAGTCAATAATGCGCAAGCAGCCGAAAAAATCTACGCTAAACCATTATTATACGTATAGTGACATGATGAAAATTGTTTATTAACCTTTAGCATATATATCAAGGGAAATTTTAACTAACAGTAAGATAATAATGATAGTATGTTATCAGCAGGTTTTTTTTTCAGAATGCAATCTTTACCGTGATGATGAAAAAAATCCACAAAATTTGCGTTTGTGAATCTTTCTACCTAACTGAGTTTAGGCTCGCATGCGTATTCAAAATATAACTACACTCCTAGACACATTTCTAAAACTAGTTGCATAAAAAGAATGCATCTGTGAAGAATGTTGAAATTTATGATGTCAATAAGAAGATTTTGCATACTAAAGCAATAAAAACTATAAATAGCGGCATCAAGGTACCCAACTGAACTTTCAGTTCGTATTTATAGCCGTTTACTAGAAAAATATTGCCCTATAAAAAATTGCATAGCTTTCAGGTATCACTATTTTCTATTTAGTTTTAAAATAGTTTCTTTTTTTAGTTATTATGTAATATGAAATAATAGTTTTGAAACCGTTGGAAAGAGCTGGTATTTTTGGAAAATTTTTGTTCGTACCTAGGTAGGTATAGGAAAAGATTTATTAGTTTTATTTGGGCAAAGGTGTCGATTAGTACGTTTCAAATTTTGGTATGTTCAGTATGTTTCTTCGCATAGTTTTTTTGGGCTTCGAAGAATTGAAAATTAGAAGTAGTTGAATCGAACTCCACGTTGAAAGCTGGTAATCACTGATGTTTTCATAAATAACTCATAACAATGGTAGCTTTTACTCAAAAGGCATAATACTTTTCATATTCAAGTAAAGTACCTATAAGCTTACTGAAAAAAATTCACAAATATAAGTTTGAAGAAACTGAATGACGAGTTACTACCCTTATTTGGATTTTATGGGGTTTTTAAACCACCAAGTGCGCGAGGAACCACTTTATATTTTTTTATTTTGAAAGAATATTTACTAACGATTAATATATTTAAAAAGTTCAAACATAAAGGGAAAAAGGGGCCCTTAATAGCGCACGTACTACGTACTAATTTTTCATGAGTATGTCCATAAAATAACTTCTTTTATAATTTGTTTTGAATATCTAAATTATACGATATTTAAATATTTTAAAAATAATCAAGTACTTGATCAATTCATTTTCATAATATTTTTATAAAGTTGTTAAAAATTAGAGAACCTTTAATTTGATTCTAATAAAATGAATCTTACCTAAAAATCGATTTTAACGACTGAATATGATAGAAATACACTTCTTACATATTTTCTGTTAGTACCTATAGACATTAACAGATTAACAGTTAGCATTTCGTAACATTACAAAATTAATATTTTTTCTATTAGCAAATTAATTGCAGTAAAGGTCTAGATGATGGTTGGGGGGGGGGTCGAAAGAGGAGGTCTCCCCCACCACTGTACCATAAGAAGTTCGTGACGGTCTCACCCCCGTAAAAAGCTATGGGGTTCAAAGTACATACATTATACATTTCTAGGCATGTAAATATTTATATAGTCATTCTTAAACAATATTCAAAGGTAAAACTAATGAAAAATACATAAAAATATTGAGAAAGTTACATAAAGCATTATTTAAATATCTTTATCAATAGGGTAGGTTAAGTTATGTTAGGTTATCGGGTTTTTTTCAAGTGACCAAAATTGTCAAAACAATCAACTTTCAACCCCCATAACTTTTTATGGGGATGAGACCGCCGCAAATTTTTTATGGGGTTTTACTCAGGTGACCACCCTCCTTTAATCACCCCCTTTGGGGGTGGGGGCCATCATCTAGACCTTTACCTTAATTGCTATTCATGTACTTATTTAATGGCGATAAAATTTCGCAGGATTATTATAACTACAAAAAAGGCTTTCTTTCTGAATGATCCTATTAGTGTTTTACTAATTTACATATACAAATCAGGTTTATTCCAAACTTTTCCACCCAATAGTCTAATTTGTGTAGACTATATGTGTAGTTATTATTTTAGTAAGTATTTCATTAATTTTTTTGTCGGTTGTACATTAACCGACGGTAAGATATGTCGTCCAAGTCTTCGCGGACAATTCTTTAGCGTAAGTACATTGAAAAAAATCACTTTCTCGTCGTCAAAATGGAGCACCGCCGTGGGTACATGCGATACCTACCATACGTACAACATTGCAACCGTCTCACGCGGTTCTTGTTCAAAATCCCCCAGCGAAAGTCCTGCTGATAGGATATATAAACGGGCGAAACTTAACCACAAGACGAGTCTAACAGTTCTTGTTCACAAGAACCCTACCGCCCCCCAATTTACTCTTACAAGAACATGTTTACGAAAATGAGAACACCTTTGGTGAGTTTTCTTTTATCCGCAAGTGATAATAGTAATTATTGCTGTTTGTTTGTGAATAGTGGATTGGTTATGTAGTTTTTGTGCGAGTAATTGTGACCAAGGATTAATATTTTTCAAGTGTTTAGTGAATTTATTTTGGAAATTACTGTAGGAAATGACTATAGAAATGTACCGGAACTATATGGGAAAAGATCTCGGTTTTCCCGTTGAAAATGGACCTGCATTTTCATGTAAAGTTCCGGTACAGTTCTATAGTTATTATCTACATAAATTTTCAATTTTATTACGAATAATTATATATCAAGGAAATTTGGTTTTTATCGTTAATTGACTAAATTATTATTACGATTCCTTTAAAATGGAAAAACAAAGAAGAAAAGTTTTTTTAATGCACAAACAATATATTAAAACCATGTCTTTTAGTTTTACACAATCTTTGTTCTGTTGTGAACTAAATGCATACATAAAATGCGCGATGAGATCCCAAAAAGCGAAAGTAAATTCACTAGGCACACGAAGATATTTGGTCATGACTTCTATGTAGCCAGTTTGTCGGTCAAATGTTTCATAATCATTTTTTTATTTAACTATTATTAATTCTGTACGTAATAGATTCGTTTTATTTAATTTAAATTGCTATTACTACCAATTTATAACGACTTTGTTTTGTGCTTGTATATAAATTCATTTTCTTGCCGTAAATAATAAAATTGTTTAATAGAACACAAGAGGAAAATAATAACTTGTACACGTCCTTACAGTTTATAAAACAATTATGTTAATGGACATTTTTTAACATGAATTTCAAATCAAAATTCATAGTAAAAATGTTTTCCTAATGTTGAGTAAATTATTAGAGTGTTCCAGATATCTTTTCATCATAATTATTTCGTAATTGCTAATTTATTATGTAAGTTATTTAGCCCCAGTGTAATGCTTAATTATTCAACGTTTTATAGCAATTTCCTATTTTTTTGTCGGCGTGTCTAATAACCTTGTAATAAACCTGCACGCACAGGAAAGGGGGTCAAAATAATAACTTATACGATTAATTCTATATTATGCTTTGGTAACAGGTGTCAAATCAATTATATGGTCTAAAAGTTATTGTTTCTGATTATTTGAAGGCTTCATTCCATGTCGCACTTCCTATCATTCAAATTTTGTTAATTTATCGAAAATTTTTCATTAAAGCGTAATATTATATGATTAACTCATAAGGAACTAACAATAATTATCAATCTTTCAACGAAACCATAACCTTAAAAAACTTTTTTTTGCTGTTTTAACAGCTGCAAAAGATAAACAAAAGACATTTGTTGCTGTTGTAAGTAATACGATTTTGGGAAATGAAGACAGTTCTACTAACAACAACAAAACCAAGACATGTCTACATTACTTTCTTAAATTATTTCATTTTCCTGTCACTAGATGACTGTAGTTACAAGTCGTTTGAATTTTATATCAGTTTTACTTTATTTTACTTAATTAATTAACTTTAATTACTGCAGATGACAGTAGCAAAAGTGAATATGTATTGTTTTTGTTAAGAAGAAGAGTTTAATTGAAAACGATTTATGAAATTTGGGAATGTGGGTCAATGTTAGGATCGCATGTATTAGAATCGTTTCGTTCGTAACAAAATTGCTACCTATACGAACACAATAGGTAGCTTTGCACGTATCTCTTGCATACTCTTTAAAAGAGGATATTGAGTAATGTGTATGTAATTATTAGCGGTAATTACGTGGTATCTACAGTGCAATGTTTCTTGAAAATAATTTATAGTAAGTATCTTGACATACATGAGCCTGATATTAGAAAAGAAAGTTCAGCATTTGGCATAATAAAACTGCAAAAATTGCGTTAATTACGTCCACATTGTCTAAAATACATTGAATAATTTGTATGTAGATGGACAAATTATTTAAAATGTGCCTTGTTACAGATTTCTTTTGGCTAAAGGTTAATGTCACTCTTCTTATAACTTTCGAGAAAAGTTTTGCAATTTTTATTTGTATTTCACATGAAATAGAATCACAAATCGGATCTCCGAAGTTATGTTTTGATTTAAAAAGGTTTAGGTTATAATAGTCGTGTGCTACACAGGGTCGGACTAGTACTTAAAGACATAAGTAATGGCGAAGATACAGATTGCCCTGAAACGTTGACAAAACAGATTTTTTCTTTTTACTGGAAAAATAACACTAACTAGTGTTTTATTTTTCTATAAAATTTTAAAACCGTTATCATAAAGATTAGGTCGAATAAATTCTGAAACATTTCAATTTAAATAAATTAACTGTAAACTTATAGTTTTAATAGTATTAGTAATGGCACTTGACACAATGGAATAAGACATTATTTCAACATTGTTCATGCAAAAAGATCATTATTCTTTTCGAACAGTAATCTGAATCATTTAATAGACAGCCTTCAGTGTTACCCATTGAAGCAGAACAGTATAATGGGTCGATATTCAATAATAAAACCGACGAGACACTGAATCTTGTGGAATGCATGTATTTTTATGTTTCAATGTCCGGATGTAAAGATAAGGTGTTTCCGCATCGGTTCTAACACAAAAAATACCGTTATATTTTCAGCTTTTCGTTGTCTTAGTCCTCATGGCAGCAGCTGTCAATGCCGGGGCCAAAGAGGAGAAGAATCAAGTCGAGCAAAACAGTGATAAGAAGCAAACCAAGCGTGGTCTTCTTGGAATAGGTTACGGTTACGGTCCTGAAATCGACCACGGTTACAGTTTAGGTTCAGGTTCAGGTGGTTACGGAGGTTTCGGTTTGGAAAGTGGATTCGGCTTCAGCGGCTACGGAGGTCACGGACATGCGATCGATTTAGGAAGCAGCGCCCACGTTGAGAAAACGATCACTCACGTTAAGGGAGTGCCCCTTCCTTACCCAGTTGAAAAGCTCGTCCCTTACCCCGTCGAAAAGCATGTCCCATATCCCGTTAAAGTTGCCGTCCCTGCCCCATACCCCGTTGAGAAACACATTCCCTACCCAGTCAAAGTACCTGTGAAGGTTGCAGTACCATACCCACAACCGTACCCGGTTGAGAAACACATTCCGTACCCTGTCAAAGTCCCAGTTGATAGGCCTTACCCCGTTAAAGTTTTGGTACCTCAGCCTTACCCTGTTGAAAAGCCAGTACCATACCCAGTAAAAGTACCGGTACCCCAACCGTACCCAGTTGAGAAACACATTCATGTCCCTGTGAAAGTACCCGTGCACGTTCCTGCCCCATACCCAGTCGAAAAGAAGGTCCCATACCCAGTCAAAGTATACGTTGACAGGCCATATCCGGTTCATGTGCCACAACCTTACCCAGTCCATGTAGAAAAGAAAATCGCCGTGCCTGTTGACAGGCCTGTACCTTATCCAGTTAAAGTACCAGTAGACAGGCCCGTTCCCTACCCAGTAGAAAAACCATACCCCGTTGAAGTCAAAGTACCAGTGCCACAACCTTACCCAGTAGAAAAACCGGTAGCAGTACCAGTTGAAAAACACGTTCCATATCCAGTTAAAGTATTTGTAGAAAGGCCTGTACCTTATCCTGTCGAAAAACCGGTACCTTACGAGGTCGAGAGACCCGTGCCAGTGCCAGTAAAGGTACCCGTACCAGTTCATGTACACCATGAACACGACCATCACCACGGTGGATACCACTACTAATCTAACAAAATGAACTAAATGTGATCCACAACTAGTGCGCTTTTTTGTCAACAGTATAATTATTTATAACATTCTTTTGTTTGTGTACGAGACACGTTGTATTTTATTGTACATTCTCAACCTTAATTTATAATTGTAATAGAAATAAATAATTTGTTTTGTAATCCATCATTTTTTATTTTGACAAATTAATCGACGAAAACATGTGTACATAAATAGTATGTATAAATTGGTACCTACAGGTACAAGAAAATTAAAAAAGGACCCTTACGGTGAAACTTCACTATCAGTCTGTCTGTCACAGTTGATTTAAAGAAAGTGCTTGTCTTTGTTTAATCAAGTTGAAGAACTTTTAAAAATTTTTTAATTTTCTTTACAGAGAAGGTCCGAAATTGGGAACAGACAGGGAAATTGAAACGTAAAATGTATGAGGGTTTTGATGAATTTTGCTTTTGTTTTGTTCGGACTTCGTCTAGATATTAACATTCAAAGGGCTTTTTTGATGCACTCATGATAAAACATATTGAACTAACGATAAGGTAAAAATAAAAAGTTACTACGTGATTTTTTTCTTAGTTTGTTAACATATACGTATTGGTTATTGATTAGGGAAAATATTGAAAGGTATTGCAGCCATTTATAATATAGTTGGTATCACTTCCTGGTTAATTTATTAGACTTTTGTAGTATGTGTCAAAAAGAGATTGTTTAGCAAGCGTTATGTAAGCTATGTAGTTGTAAAAAAACCTGGAGACTTTCAGACAAACGAATAAATTAGACAAAAACAGTCCTTCAAAAATTACCTTTTATTATGTTGAATAATGTAATTAAAAACATTGCTAATTACGTAAAATAAGAATCAAAAAAATACATATTGGTGCCTATATACATGATAGAGCTCGTAGAAGAAATTAAATAAATAAAATTAAGTATCTGACTAATATTTTATAAAAAAAAAAATAATTATTATTATNTAAATAAATACTTTTTGTAGCTCACACAAAGTTGCCTGTACATTGATTTTGAAATACTTATATACGTCTACCTATACACTAAAATTAAAATTGTGGATTTAAACTATGACACTAAAGCAGTATCAATTATTTTTTGAACATATTTTTCTGTAGAAGGAAGTAAGTATTCAAAGTAGTGTTATTAATTTATATAATATAAGTAAAGAATTTTATTCTTCAATTTCTCTATTTTCTACATCTCTTTGTTTTAATATTTGTACACCACCAACCTTTGATAATTAATTAGTATTTTCATAGATTGCAAATGAAGGTGAAAACAATCGGATACTTTAAAAATTAATTTTTTTCCAACTTTTCTTAAAAACAAAATCGCCTAGCTCATACCATTCCTAATGTGAATAATATGCAAAAATAAATGCGCTTTTCGGGTAGTCTTTTAGACCATATAAAGTTGTCAGTTACATAATACGGTCATTTCTAGTTTCTTTACTATCCTGATTGAAAATTGTAATTTCTACCTTTTAACTAAAATTTGATATTTAGAAATACATATAAAATTTGAGACAAATATTCAATACATTAAAATGAAAATTATGATAATTTCGTTTGTGTTCTAGCATGATGAATAATTGTAACCATTAATTAATTAAGGAAAGACAAAGAATTCGAATCAAAGTCGCGCACTTTTTATTTACACAGATACTTTTATACAATTACATTTTCCACTTCAATGTCTAAACAATTACAGAATGACCTAGCAGTTACTCGGTCATTCATTTGGTGCAGAAAGAAAACGGATCAAAACGCCTTTGCTAATTAAAGCTAATTTGGCCTGTTTCTCTGTTTTTTTTTTGTCAGTTGGAGACCTTGAAATTAATTAAACTCAACACAAACCTATTGCTAAATTGGAATTTCGCTGTTGCATTTTTATTTCAAGTTTCTAATCCATCGAGGTTAAATTTTGTGTAAAATTCGTATGCATATTCACAGAAGTCTGCGAACGGTATTTTACAAGTTTATAAATAGATATTGTTGGGAATTTTGACGTTAAATAAATTAAGAACATTGTTGCACTTGTTAACAATAGAAAGACATATTTGAACATTAGATTTTTCTGTTATCAAGCAGTTATTGTACTGCAAATTCACAATATTGAAACAAAAAATTAAGTATCAATCAAAAATCAAATTAAAAATCAGTATTCAAATCGATGTGGTTAGTATTTTAAAAATATTAAGCTTTAGCCTTAAATCTTAAGTAGAATTGTACAGAGGAGGATGGAAAAAAGGGCGGAAGAATTATTAGGGGAAGATCAATTTGGGTTTAGAAGAAATAGAGAAATGCATGCGGTCATTCTAACATTCCTACATAGGATTTATAGATGTAGAAAAAGCTTTTGACAATGTAAAATGGGACAATATGTTAAATATACTTTAAAATATAGGGATGAGTTACAAAGATAGAAGAGTAATACTTAGTTTGTATAAAGAGCAACAGGCAGTTATAGAGATGGTACTGCAACGTAAAGAAGTAAATATGTATTAGGAAGAGTCAGACAGGGATGCACACTGTCACTGCTACGTTTTAATATATACATCGAAGACGCGATCAACAACATTAAAGACAGTACAACTGTAGGGATAGATATACAGGGGCAAAAGATTAGTATGCTTATTTGCTGATGATATAGCAGTATTAGCATCTAGCAAGGAGGAGTTAGAAATAGCTTTAAATTAAATCGAAACGGCATTGATAAAACTGTATTGTATGAAAATAAATAAAAATAAAACAAAAATACTGGTATGCAAGGGAAGAATTAATAGAAAAAAACAGATATAAAGGTAGGAGACGAAAAATTAGAAGAAGTGACCGATTTTAGGTATCTAGAAAGTTAGATAAGTCAGGATGGAAGGAGTAGTAGGCATATAAAGCAGAGGATAGCGCCGTGTCAAGTCGCCTTCAATGACCAGAAGTCACTTCTATGCTCGCGAACGGTTAAAGGTGTATGTTTGGAGCACGGCGCTGTAAGGGTGCGAAACACAGATAGTGGGCGCGGCGGAAAAGAAAAGGTTAGAAGCGTTCGAAATGTGGTGTTACAAGCGAATGATGAGGATATCGTGGGTAGAAAGGGTTATAAATGAGGAGGTATTGGAAAGAATAGAAGAACAGAGGACTCTATGGAGGTCAATAAGAAATAGGCAATATGGATAGGTTGGTAGGACACCTTCTCAGGCATGAAGGTCTAGTCAGAGACATATTAGAGGCAGAAACAGGAGTTAGCAGAAGTAGAGGCAGACCTAGCTTAAATTACTATTCGACAATAGTTAAGGATGTGGGATGTACTAATTTTAGGGATACGCGAAGATTAGCTTATTGACACTTAATATTCAAATATTGATCCTTGATATTTATTCGCTGACACTTGATATTTATATACTGACCTTTCATTTTTGAATGCTGACACTCAAAGCTTTAATACTGAGGATCAAGCGATACTGACAATATGTATCTAAATACTGAACCTTGATATTTAAGTACCGATTCTTAAAATTTGATATTAAACTACTGACACTTAATACTTAAATAGTGATCATATGGATTTAAATAATGAACGTTTGATTTCACTATTGATCTTTCAATGTATTTTAATACATTTTTATACGGAGGTTTAATATTAATTAAAAAATGACAGAAAGGGGTTACAATACAAATGATTATTTATTGAGGTAGAAACCGGCAGCTCAATAAATGATAAAAGAGTATTAATATAGATAATTAATTATGCTTAATTATGTGCCTTTGGCCTTTATTTGTTCGCGGTAAATCCGTAAAGTGAATACAATTCTTAAAATGACACTAATAATAGTAGGAAACTTATTTTTATTTTCAAATTTCTAGCGAATGACGTAGTTTTCAGCTTCATTTATGAGCTTACAAGAAAATATAATCCGTGCTCTATTTGTGGATTTTCAAGAAATATTCTTTCTTAATTTACAACTGCCTCTTGACAATGTAAGCAATTCTTAGAAAATGTAATAGGTGCTGTAGTTTTTATCACCTAGAAGGTGTAGGATGAAAGTAAATTAAATTATAAGAAGCCACGTTACAATGTATGATAGCTCAGGTCTACTTGGAAACTGAAATACGTACAATTAAACATGTGTTAAATTTTGATAGTGATCCATTGTTGCAGTAATGGTGATGTGCTTCGTATCAGTGATATTCAGAGGTGTGATTTATTTTAGAATAAAGAAAATAGCTCAAACCCCAACGCCAAAACACGACACTTTACTTGTCCGAAGCACTTTTCGGTAACAAGGTTACCTTCTTCAGGGACTGAGTTCACTGAAGTGAACCGCCAAAGTTTTCCAGTTTTCATATTTGTGATTTTTTTGAAATACTTGCTTTTAAAATGCAAAATCAAAATTAAAAATATCCATTTGTATGTTGTATTTAAATACTTTTTGAGAAAAGCATCTTGTCCTTTCTTTAAAATACTTTTCCAAACGTATATTCTGTTTGTAAAATGCAAAATACATTTTTGCCGTTAAAGGTTTTGCTAGTATCACCGATCAAACATTATATAAAATGATGAAAGAAAATTGCCCACGTTGTCCATAAAAGGTAGAAGGTTAATAAAATTTAACTGAAGAAAGCCCAAAAAAATCTAAACTCCTTGGAAATGGATTATCTAAAATATTGGATCGATATTGACAATGTCATCGTCCATGGAATTTTGAAGTTTCAAATTTATATCAGCACCTGCCAAATCACCACTTATTGTACCTTTGTAATAAATGTCTATAATCTAAAATTCTTTGAAGGTTTGCTTGAAGGTGAAGAATAAGTTTCTGGGCAGCACTGGAACAGGCAAAGCGAAAAATAAAAGGGTCCACAGCAGAGAAATGGAAGAAACAAAGAAGGAGATATATACAAGAGAAAGGATGCTCGATAAATTTCTGCAACCAACTCCATGAGAACAACAGAGATGTATGGCTGGAAGCAGAGAAAATCGAAAGAGACCAGGAAAAGCGAAGATTGGAAGAAAAACTCAATGCTTCAAAATATGCGATAGAGTATAAGGAGATACATATTTACCGGAAAAACCAGAATACATGAAGAATGGACACAAAATGAAAAACGAACTAACATGCGCTATCTGTCTAAAATTCTTTGAAAATGTTCCAAAA